CCTCCTGAGCACTGACCAGGGCTGGGAACAGCCCTGCCCCCGGGCAGCGTGCCCTGGAAAGGGGATCACCTCCACTGCTTTTTAGCCAGCCCAAGGAAGGGCCGTCTCCCGTAGACCTGTGTCCTTGATGCAGTACGGGGGGCTCAGAGCCACGAGTCTTGCCCAGTCAGTCACCACGACTGCCTTGGTCAGAGGCCTGGACCAATCCTGTAAGCTCTTTTCTTTGGCATCATGCACAGTAGAACCCCGGACCTCGACGCTAATCCGTTCCAGGAGCGTCGAGATGGGACGCAGTGGAGTTCCAAATCAACTTTTCCCATGAGAAGCAACTGAAACGTATTAATCCGTCCTCGGCCACCAAGTTTTTATCCTAATCTTGCCTTTCTATACAAAACATGATGCAGAATTTTTAAAGTAAATAAGCTCAGCGTTACATAATATAATTTAAATAAGACACACAACATTAAAAAAATTAACAACTGCAGTACGGCCCAGACCTTGAGCCGGATGAGGATCTGGATCTGTGGACACGGATGGATGTGGAGAGGAGGGATGGAGAGAGGGAATCCCCTTCCATCAAATCAACTGGTAGCTGCTTTTCAGATTTTTTCCCCTTCTTTGCAGATTTTTTCCCCTTCTTTGCCTCTTTTTCACTGGGACCTGGCTGGCTTTCTCTCAAATAAAATCTGTCTAATGTGGCCTGCTGTTGACGTTCCCTTAACTGTTCTCTAAACCGGTTTACTAAATTATCAACAACAATATCGATAACACAGTTAACCAGTTCCTTATCATCACGATTCTTTTCAAAAAACTTTTTTTTTCTTGATTCAATTTTTAATGCCTGAAAATTAACCTTATCATTACATATTAATTTTTGATCTTAGTTCCTTCCTCATAGATACTGGGGATATGTATTATGAAACATTGATTCCGCTGAGCTTATTCACAGCTTCTGGGATAAATGTCAGGATGGTGTATGAGCCTCTTTTTTTTAAATTATTTTATTGGGGGCTCGTACAATTCTCATCACAATCCAAACATCCATCCATGAGTCAAGCACATATGCACATTTGTTGCCCTCATCATTCTCAGAACATTTGCCTCCCACTCTAACCCCTAATCTCGGTTGCTCATTTCCCCCTCCCTCCCCACTCGCCCCTCCCTCATGAACCCTTCATAGATCATAAATTGTTATAGAAAAAACTCT